TGAACTTTCCTACATTAGCATCAAAATGATTGGAAGAATAAAAAGCCATAAGAATTACAGATAGGGCTTTAATCCTAAAGCATAGAAAAAACAAATTAACTATATCCCCAAGGCACTTGAGGACATATTTCTCTTGCCTAGCAAAAACACAATCCTGGTCCCTAAGAATTTCATACCTATTATTTCTCTTGATTTAATTAGATGCAAGAAAGGAACAAAAGCCAAATTTAAATACATGAATGTGAATGCCTAATTATTTTTGTTGCAAATTCTCTGCATATTTTTCCTACATTTCAGTAGCTTGCCAAGTCTACAGTATTCTTACCTACACTATCTTTTTTGAATGTCACAGCAATATTGTGAAGAAAACAAGTGACAGAAGTGACTGTCACCATTTTGCAGATGAGGACACTGAGGCTCCAAGACGTCTCATTGCTGAAACCTGGCAGTGGACTTTGGCACCAAAAGTAAGGATTTAATCTTTGCTACTTTGCGAAGGATTTGAGGCAGTTTGTCAGTATAGCTGATACTTATGTGTGAGTGTCATGGTGTAAATATAGGGAGCAAAAGTAGCCAAAAGATTAAAAAAGAAGAAAAATAAATGGAAGATAGACTAAAAGGGGGTAAGTCATGCTAAAGTGTGGTTCAGTGCAGCAAAGTCAGCCCATGTGTCATAGGATGAAAATATCAACTGAGCAACTATAACATGTACTAAACATCATGAATTCTCAAAATATGGTCCATGAAAATTGTTTGGCTGGCATCCAAACTAATCACTAGGCATTGTTGTTAGCAGATACTGTAGTCAGTACATGGGGTCACAAAAGACACTCGTAACTTAGAGATAAAGTTAACCTCTGGGACCAAACAAGGATGTAGGAAAAAATGAGTGACGTCTGATTAAAGAATAGTCAGTGAATTATTGACTAAGGAAGTAGAGATGCTCTAAACTAATCAATGTGTTATATCAAGGTATCTGTATTAATTAAGCTAGGGTTGAACATAACTGTTATTGATCTGGAGAAATAGGAATCAATCGTGTTCACTTTATCTAAGAAAGGATGACTGTTAATGGGAGGGGATTGGCTGACTACCACCCTCTCAAGCAAGAAGCAGGAATTCAGCAGAGGGGGTGGGAGAGGGATGTAAGTGGCAGTCACTAGAATCTCCTATTGTGGGGCAGGAAGCTTTGTCAGATGTCTAGGGCCTGGGGGTCCCAGTGCTCTGATTTCATGCCAGTCATGCAGCCTCTAAGGGACCTGGTTAACTGAGAGGGGCTGCTGAGGATGGAGTATATAGTCTTTGGAAAAGCCCTAGTCCCCCTTATAAAGTAATAAACTGACCTTCTCGCTTATATTTCAGGTCTCTGGGGGATAGCTGGTGTGAGTCTGACCTCCCATGATGAAACCAATTCTGAGGTTTCTGGGCTAGCAAAGCAGAACCCTGATCTTTAAATGTGGTGAGCATGCCAAGGCTCTTTGCCCATTTTGACCATCCTTTCTGGTGGACAGCCAGTCTCGCTGGACCACAGCTCTGCTAATCTCCCTTAGTGTTGGTGAACACGGTGCTTTTTTCTTTTGTTTAAATGAATACCTTACTTGTAGCAGTAGTTTTGTTCAAGGGCGATAGAAGTCCCATACTGAGACTGGAAAGAATAGATGTTCTTGTCTTGGTGTTACTACTTGCCATACTTTTGATATTTCAAGCTATTTACCTCAATCTAGGTTTCCTCATCCATACAGTGAATGGATTTCATTAGAGGATCTTTGTAATTTCTCCAAGGTCACTTAGCTGATCAGGGACAAATGGCCCTTTACCCCATTCCCTTTCCCCTGCCTACTCTGCTTTTCCTTATGTAAATTTGCGAGAAGAGTCTGGGTTGGGGGAGATCCCCAAGTGAATAGTAAGGCGGTTTGAAATGAATTTTCCTTCTCTTTAACTAGGTTGGAATCAGGGTAGACTATGCATAGACTTTTGTCACCTAGATGAAGGCCTCGTCAATAAAGAATCAGTTCCAACCACAACCCATTCTCCTAACCGTCCCCATCTCACTGAGCATATATAGAAAATAATGATAGAAAATGATATTTCTATATTGCGTACTGAGATAAATGCATGCAGCTACATATGGCCATCCCAAAGGAAGAGGGACTCAATATTTAGGCCCTCCTGTATGTAACCCTCATGCCCAAATACACTGGCTGAAATATGCTATTGCAAGCCCTCTCAAGCCATGGTGCTACCAGAAGCAAAACTAGATTAAGTTATGTTCTCTCTTGGGATTGATTTCTGATTGGTAGAATAATTTCTTCTCATTCAAAAATAGAGATGCAGATCCCAGCTTCCTTTTGTAGTCCAATTTACAGTGATGACTATTGTACAAAGACTACAAATAGAAAAGAACATGCTTCTTTGGTGTCTTCCTATAAAGTGAGGACACATTTAATAGACTTTTGGTTTCTACTGTATTTCTTATTTTTTTATTGTTTATCTCTACATCTATCATGACTATTGTCTTCTTCCAGTGTGATTTATTTAATGGTATAGCATACTTTGTTCCTTAATGATTAACATCCTAACAGATGGTCAAGAAGCCAATTTCCATCATTCAATATGTTCTCTCAACCTTCTTGTATGTACCATAGAAATCAGAGTCATCCTTATAGTCTTTTCCTGTAATACACTCAACATTAGATCCTATCCCCAAATCTCATAACTTTGTGGTATTAATAGATAATAATTTACTTGAATATTACTATTCTAATAGTAGAGAAGTATGATCAGTATATAGTAGTCTAGTTAGTACTTTTTCTCTTCTTATTTACTTTTTAAATAAAGTATAGATTACATAAAGTGCCAGTACAGTTTTTTGCACAACACTGGCTGTCTTAGAACTCCACTTATGTTTGCATGCCTTCAGCAAGTACTTTTGACATATTTCTCAAGTATTAGGGACTGTACTTGGTCTTTTTTCTCTTCATTTTCTATTTCTCACCTCATGATCTTTTTTCCCCTCCCTATTTCTCTGACCCTGTATCTTTTTTTTTCCTTTTTTTTTTTTTTTGCCTACTTCCCTTTAATTTCCTCCTTTCTCTTTTTCTTATTTTCTCTCTTCCACTTATTATTTATTCTGTGTTTTTCTAAAACACTTC